GGTTCACCAATCATTAATGTTTCTAAACCTGCTAAGCCTACGATAAATGCAATAATATCTAGAATTAACCATGCATATGAATCTATGATTTAATATTCTGGGTTATAAAAAATTCCTAACATTGAATTTGAAACATTTGTAGTAGCAAATTTAAGTCAATCCATGATATGTTAGAAGAAACTTCATTAAATTTTGATTTGAAACATACAAAAACTTTAACATTTATATTTTCTTTTGAATCATACCTTTTGCTTATGTCGATCATTTTAAAAGAGTGGAGTTTGTCTCAAAGTATAGAGTTTATCTTATTTCAGTTCTCAAATTGCATCGTTTCAATCTCTGAAATATTGAATATATTTTTATGTAGTCTTTTAAGCAAACAGTGTCCAGATTTTTTCTTATAAATTTGTCACGTAATATCTAAATATGAACAAAATTTTAATTAGGAAAACTCTTGACCAAAATTTTACTCAAATTACATAGTTTGGATCATAAGTTAATCCAAATTTTGGTCAAAAGCTACCAATATTACACATTTTTTTGTCGAGAGCTGTCCAAATTTTAGTCAAGAACTACCCAAAATTATATTTTTGTCCATATTTACGTATCACGTGACAAGTTTATAATAAAAAATCATTAATAATTTGGATGTTATCTCCTTGAAGGAACACATAAAATCATATTTAATATTTCAGAGACCAAAATAATACAATTAAAATATGAGTAATGTTACATTGACTAAATTTGTAGCTCAAATGACATGACAGTTAATTATTTGAAGTATTTATTGGGACTCAAATGACATGACACAAATCAAAAAAATTCAAATCAACTGTCATGTCATTTGAACTTTAAATTTGGTCCCAAAATTTGATCAATCTAGTATTACTGTTAAAATATTGAGAATCAAAATGAGACAAGTCTCATAGTTTAGAGCCTTCGGTGCAATTAACCCTTGAAATTTAAACCCAACGACTATTTAGCATTTGCACTATGACGACACATATATATACATTCCCCGGCAATGGAATCGTTTGAACCAAACGCTATTTGGCATCNCTATTTAGCATTTGCACTATGACGACACATATATATACATTCCCCGGCAATGGAATCGTTTGAACCAAACGCTATTTGGCATCATAGTTGCAACACCAACTTGCACATTAATCACCTGCACATCTGCTAAACCAGAGCTTTATCTAATCAATGGGACTTAAACTCAAGATGTTCACATCTCACCCAATATGTTAACCACTAAACCAGTTTATGTGGGATTATTGTACATGATATCAATGGGGTCTTTTGTGAGAAATTTCAAATATTTAGCTGTAGTTAGAGCTATAAAGTAAAGAAATTCTTGAGAATTATAATTGTTAGGGTGGACCTTAGCATCTAATTTTCTTCAAACCTCACAGTGACAGAAGTTTTATACACTAAGTCACTTTTTTTAGTATAGACCTTGAACGTAAAGAATTCTTAAATACATTGATTCCTATTAACTAGTATTGTTTTATTTATTTTTTGGGGGTAAGTTATTGTTATTTTCATGAGTATAAGAAGCTAAACATTTTATTATTCTTTACAGGTGTTTAAGAAATACTTGGGTGCANGAGCTATAAAGTAAATAAATTCTTGAGAATTATAATTGTTTGGGTGGACCTTAGCATCTAATTTTCTTCAAACCTCACAGTAATAGAAATTTGGTACACTAAGCCATTTTTTTAGTGTAGACCTTGAACGTAAAGAATTCTTAAGTACATTGATTCCTATTAACTAGTATTGTTTTATTTATATTTTTTAGGGTAAGTAATTGTTATTTTCATGAGTATAAGAAGCTAAAAATTTTATTATTCTTTATAGGTGTTTAAGAAATACTTGGGTGCATTTGTTATTCCATCAGCCTTTTGATTTTCTATTTTTTCTCCTTTAGTTGTAATTCTATGGATCTATTAGGAATACTATGTTTCTTCAAGGCATTACGTTTATGAGTAGGTCTTTTTTTTGTTATAGGATGTCTAGATTTACGTCGACTATTCCCTCGAGCTCAAATACTGACACCATAGCTTAAGTGGATTTAGAATGTATCTCCTAAGGAACAAGGGTGACTAACTTTTGAAAGATCTATAACTGAATAAAAACTAAAAAAGAGAATGAAGTGAAAATTAATTTTTTTTTTTTTTTTGGAAGATTACAGAGCTCTCAAGCCCCCACAAGATACGCTTATGCTAATATCAAAAGGATCACTAATCAATTTAGTGGCATACTGGGTGAAGGAGGCTACGGATCCATTTACAGAAGGAATGTTTTTTTATGACATACTTCTTGTCGTGAAGGTCAAGTTCATCAATTCAGTTGGAAACACTTGGGAGGAGAGGATTCACCATCTCAATGTGGTTCGTTTGGTTCGCTTTTGTGCCGATAGATTTAGACGATTTGTTGTGTATGAGTTCCTTCCAAATGATTCACTGGAAAAGTTCATATTGTCACCAAACTCTAAGAATGCTCCTCTTGGTCGGAAGAAACTTCAACACATCGATTTACGTATAGCCAAAGGGATTGAATATCTTCCCCTGGGGTTAGGGGCGGAGCCACCCTTGGACCAAGGCGGGCACGTCCCCTCACCCCCTCAAAAAAAAAATTTTGACATTCGATATATATTTTTTAAATAAAATTTAGATATATTTAATTATATATATTCTCAATTTTTTTTTTACATTAGATATATATTTTTTAAAATAAAATTTAAATATATTTAATTATGTCCACCTTATTATTGTGTTATTGTGATATCAATTAAGATAGACCGCTACTTAAATAATAATTAGTTTTCAAATAATGTTATTGAAACTAATACATTGTGATATTAAATCTAATAGTGAGTCCCTACATTGAATAACATCTATTATCCATCTAATGGTCACAAATTATTGTGCTACTACTACCAATTAAATTTTGAATTTTTTTTTGGTCAAGATATAAAATTAAATTGCGAATTAGATGCAACTACTATTATTCTTAAATTTTTAGACACATTTTGGACATGTTCGAATAATTTTTAGACATATCGCAGTTATTTTTCTAAATTATAGGATTATTTTGTTATTTTATGGAAATGAGCGTCATTATGTAATAAATTATAGGGTAATAAATGAAAGATTTTTATTACCATTTTGTATGTAGAAAAAGAAGTACTTATTGATATCATTTAAATGATAAACAATAATCAGATTCAATTGTAAAATAATAATAATTACTCTCAAACGAAGTTTTAATTAATTTACTTTTATTTTTTGTTTGTTCATTCCACGCAAATCATTTTTTAACCATTTATGTTTAGTGAATTTTTATTTATAATTATAGTAAATATGAATTTATGAACTTCTGTTTTCAATTGAAAAAAAAATAAAAAATACTATTTATATCTAATTTGATGACATAATTTAATGCACCCATTTGATTGAAAATAGACTCTATCTAACATTGAAATTTACAATTAAAATAACAGTTACATTGAATTAAGTCTCTATAACATTGATAAAAAAAAATTAAAATTTATTAATGTGTCCACTTTAAAGTAATTTTCTGGCTCCTTTCCTGCCTAGGGTGTGACCAAAGAATCAACACATTTTAATATTAGACTCTACTTACGAGCTTAGATTCAAACAAGATCTAAATCCAGTTCGTGGGTTAAGCCCAAATTATCATTAGGCATGTCAAGCTTAGTTCATAACCTCAGTCTAATGCAAAATTCAAGAGTTTAGGAAGAGTTAATGCATGTGAGAGATCAATCATCGGGATAGTCATTACTCCAAGATAGTGCACATCTCTAATTGTAGCTATCCTCCCCGATAAATTAGTAACTTGACCTTCACGTCACCGTTACAGTTAGAACTCTATGTCTATAAATTATAAACCCCATTTACACATAGAACAGATCTCACACACTTTATCTTGAACGTACTTTATCTCTCCCCTATAACTTTGTACTCTCTCATTAATAGAATTCTTTGGTCACTGTTGTCACCTTGAGTGGTTAAGTTTAAGTCACTCAGATTCAACCACTCAATTTTTGTCTATTATTATTAAGTATTTCATTAATTACTTTACACCACAAACACACTTGACTAATTTAATTATGCAATAGTCAACTTTGTACCTCATCACTTGCAATATCATGTTAGACATAGCCAAATGTAGTGTTGTATTTAACCGTAGATATTGTGGTAATACCCCTAGTGAATATATTTAATTCAAAATATAAATACAAATGGTGACAACTTTCGGATTTCATTCAGTCCCCCCCATTGCTTCTAATTTTTACAATTTGGGAACTGGGATTAAATTGTTTAAAAACTTGAGTTGGCCTACGCGAAGGATCAATTCTTCATTTTGCTGCATAATTTCGGTCATATTGGAAATAAAAAATTTTAGAAAGACAAACAATTCAATAAAATGATGGAAACTAAGAAAGAAATTGAAAATGAAAAATTACACTTTGACCCATTAAACTATGCACTTGTTGTCCCTTTGCTCTTTGAACTACTAAATTTTTCACACTTACCCCCTTAACTACTCGAATTATTTTAACACTGCCCCAACCCTAGTTATCTGTTTTTAAACAAAAATTGTCAAGGAGTTGAAAGGCAAAGTGAAAAAATTTATACAGTTAAAAAGACAAAATGAAACAAACTTTTTGTTAAATTTGTAATAGACATTTTATAATTATGGTGATGTAAAACTAATCACGTAGTTAAGAATACAATATAAAAAATATTATAGTTAAGGAAATAATGTTAAAAAAAAAAAGCTATAATTGAGAAAGTCAAAGTAATTTACAAAATTGAATACTTGTTTATATGATCAAAATATACTGAAACACATTAAACATATCAAAACATAGAAATTTTAAAACTCAATCGTTAATTTATTTCAATTTCCATAATAAACTGTTTCAAAATAAAATTTAGTTTCTTAGCTTATGTTTTCAGTCAAAGAACATGTTTTCAGTCAAAGAATAAAAGTACAGCACCTGTCGATCCCAATATTTAAAAAAAAAAAAATACAGCTAGGGATAACATGCGACACTAAATAAAGAAATAACAGGCAAAAACTGGGATTAAAAGCATTAGTAACATATGCAGTTCATCAACTCCACTCAAAATCATACGATTCACCATCCTAAATTACTAAACTAGTTGCCATAGTCATTCTATAGACAACATAACCTAGGCTACATTGACTTAATATCCATCATTCCTTCCTTCATCACCAAACCCACCACGATAACTTGGACCACCACCTCGAGGAGGACCGGCTCTGTCTGTTGCAAAACTCACACGGATGTTCCTCCCATCCAGTGGCTGAAGAGGAAGGAACCCAAGTCAAAAAATACTTTCTGGAATACATATGTTTGCTAATCAATTTAATTCTCTTACCTGTCCGTCCATGGCTGACATTGCCGAGCTTGCACATTCATCACTAGAGAAGTTCACAAATCCAAATCCCCTTGATCTTCCGGAGTCTCTGTCAATGATAACCCGTGCTATTCACCAAAACCAAGAAAATTTTCATGTATTCAAGCACTGCCATTGACATATTGTCATTTGGAAATCATATAATAACTGAACACAATAGAATCATTGCTCCAAACACAAATACCACTACCAACAAAACAATAATAACAATAACAATAATACTAAGGCTCCATCCGGGAAAAGAGGGGGGAGGTCTGGCCCTTTGGCCTGATTCAGGCATGCAACCACTTGAATTCATAAAAAATATTAACTAAAACAAATATAATATGACCATACTAAGCTCTCTTGTTTTCTTTGAGAAGAAAATCAGACCAGAAAAGAAAGATCAAATACCTTGACAAACCATTTTGTATAGTAAAGAAAACCCCTTAATTTTGATCAACAAACCAGCCTATTATAAATTTAACTCGGATACCAAATTTGTAATCTTGGTTGAATTGTTCAAATTCACCACCAACATGCAGAAAGAGCTGCATATTTGAAAAAGAAACAAAGACGGGAAAAAAGGCAAATCCAAAGAAACAAAGCAACTACCTTTTCAGATCCCCGAATTTTAAAATACATTAACATGCAAAAGAATGGATTTGAATCAGACAAATATAGAAGCTATACAAATACTCTTGCAAACAAAATTTGGCTGCTTCCCTCACACAAATACTATTCCACTGGTTTTCCTCTCAAGCAAAAAGACAATAATCCACCAAAAGAACAGAGTGGCAGGACAAGTTGATCATATTTCATGGAAAATTGGAAGCATTTTTCTATGTTAGAAAGGTAGAATTGCATCAAGCATTCCATATACAATCATTATTCATTATTCTGGTAGAAAACAGTAGTGAGCTCATATATGTTAAGCAAATTAACATGCTTTGTGATCTGATACCATATAGTGCAGAGTAAAACTCACCCTCGGTAACATCACCAAAGCTGGAAAATGCATCCTTGAGAGACTGGTCATCAACTCCATATGAGAGACCTAAATAAATAGGTATTCAGTCACTGTCCCAGTGACATGGAGTCTTATAGCTAAAGAAAAAGTATTTAACCCACTGTAAACATTATTATGTTGCATACCTCCAATAAAAAGCTTTGAAGACGACATACAACGAATAGCATTGAGCATTGATGCCATTGGAACTTGCCCATTAGACACACTGCTCTGTGAAATGGTCTGCCTCATGAGACTTCCAAATCTATTGCAGACTGCCATTGTGAATTTTAATGCCAAAGAGCCTGCAAAAGTATATGGTTAAAAGGCCTACGATATCAATAACAATGCTATAAATATCAAAAGATTAAAAATAAAAACTAACAATAAAATTAATCAGCACAGTTTATATGTTTAAAAGCACGGCTTTTGGATATAGTATAGTGCTTTGTACAAAATTGCACATGTTTCCCACAACACTAGGATCAAGAATAACGGTCATGGATATTTTCAAAATATAGTAATCCAGAAGCTCACAATTTCAATCCAACCAATTTTCAATTACCCTATAGCAGGGTATCTTTGTATTGCATCTAAAAATAGTCATGTCAAGAAATCCCAAACTCAGGCATACTCAGCAATGGAATAATACAATTTCAACAAATATTATATAAGGAAAAAAAATCCAGAGAATCATTCGTAAACGATCTCTTCCATGATTTTGGTTATTCGTAATTCAAGTCATTTCAAAAACTAGCCACTATGTTGTCAACTTATACCACAGTTCAAATCCATTTTTTGGGGGGTCTCAATTCAGAATAGTCCAAAAATTAGTCTAAGTTGTCAACTTATACCCTAAATAAAATCCTGTAACAAAAATATTACTGAATGACCAAAACAAGTTTATTATTTCAGCACACCCAGTCAGATAAGAAGTTTATTCTTCCAGGACTCCAAAACAATATCTGAGATCCAGTCCCCGGCCAATATATATACAGTACAACACAGGAGTAAAGGCAGCATTTTATTGACTTCAACATAAATCGATTTGCTTAATATAATCATGGGTGCTAGTTTATCTGTCACACTGTCTTCAGTAAGGAAAAAACACATCTCAAAATTGCATATAAAACATTAAATATCAACTCTTTGTGAATACAAACATCAATATAAATGTTAATCTGTCAATAACAAGATTGATATTGGAAATGCGGAAAATGACCCTTAAAAGACCACAAATTAAATAAACAACCACCAAATGTGTTTTTGATATCATTTCCAACTTCTCCTTGGAGTTAGGCTATTCGAAACACGAAATCAAACCTGTCCTAATTTTCTCCACAAAAGAAGTCTTCTATTAAACTCAACAAATCCTTGTTCCAACTTTGTAGAGTCAGACTATATGAATATTGATTTTCCAATGATTTCAACTCAACCAAATCCAGAAAACCCAACTACACCAAGAAGACAAAAAAACCAAGTAACATTTACATAACTGCAGAAAGATTTTATTTTTCAGTATATTCATCGACCGAAAACCCAAATACTAGCATCCACATAACTTTCACCATTGTAACGGAAGATTTCCAAAGTCCCCACAAACCACAAACCCAAGAGTTCACATCCACAACACATTAGGAACACTTCTAACAGAGCATCTAATGAAAACCCACATATCCAAGAGTTCACATACACAAAAATTAAGAACACATTTGACAGAATCTCTAAAATATCCACCAACAACAAACCACTTCTGCTTCAACCGAAACATGAAAAATAAAAAAGCAAAGGATCAAATGAATCCAAGGCAAGCGAAAAATAACGCATATAAAACCATCAAAACGAAAGCAGAACATCAATACATAAAGAGAATGATCAAAACACTCAGACAGAAAAAAACCCAGACAAGAAAAAGCATGAACCAGAGGATCTAGTGAATAGTCACATATAGAACAAAGAGAAATATTCTACCTGAGAGAGAAGGGGGTTTTAGGAGAGAGAAACTATGAGGNTATTAACGATTCGTGAAATTTAGAGCATTTAAATTATAATGTTTAGAACATGTATATGTTACTCATAATCCTCGATCTTTAAATTTTGTTTCGTAAGAGGATAATATTTTTCTCTAATTCTTCAAAGCAATAGACAATTCTTAATAAAACAAACTAAATTAAGTTATGAAGTGGAGAGGTGACCTAATCTATTAAATTAAGATCTATACTTTATCGCCTCAATCACATTTATTAAAAGGATGTATATAAGTCTATAAAAATAGATCACTTAACAATATTAACTCATTTTATTAGATCATAAATTCAATCTATTAATTATAAATTAATGGAAGTTAACAATATTAACTCATTTCATTAGATCATAAATTCAATCTATTAATTATCAATTAGTACATTGAATATTTACTCCCTTGCAAGTAATTTGAGCTTTTTGCACGAATCTATAATAAGCGTTTGGAGACCAATAAGACCTCTAATACTCTCTGGCGGGGTATAATTATGGTTTGCACTTGAATCCTAGAACTACCGAAAGGAGAGGTTACTAAAATCCAAGGGTGATCTCCCCTCTCTCTGATTTCATTAATAATTTTTTTTAAAAAAGATCTAAAATCCACAGGAAAGCATCATTACACAGACTGCGGCCTGCAAGACTTAATTTTTCTAGAGGGCATGACAAAGAAGCTAGTAAGATTTTTGAACTTTTTTGGGGGTTTGATACCAAAGATGTTGCAGAATACTGTGGAAAAATAATTTCAAGTAGTAGAAAAGCAATGAATCGAAGAAGATAGATCTCTAAACAAGGTGCGATACTCGCTATGTTCGAGATAGTAATTTCTCCATTTATAATGCAGATGGACTCTTAAAAATTCTACCCTTAGAATACAATGCCTAACTTTAAGATTATAAAAAACTGCACTCTTTAGAATCTTGGAATCAAAACTCAACCCGAATATAAAATCAGAAAATATAGAAACTTTGAATCAATGAGAATAAGAAGGATTAAATTGTTTATTCTTTGTTCTTGCATATGAATCCTATTTATAGTGTTCTATGCATCTCTCAATGAAAGAGTGTAAACCTTCACAACCATAGCAAAAGACATCTCCCTTGAAAGGACTGTAATAATATAGTCGTTAGAGACTAATTTCAAACCGAATGCCTGTCACTTTTGAACGAGATTGCCACATTCGAACGTACTCAAATCTCAATATCTTGATTCTGAGATATTTTCAGATTTTTGCCAAAGTATTGGGAGCAAGTCACGTTCGAATGTGGGGTTGCATTCGACCGAAGTCCTAGTATCTCAGTTTAAGTCAAAAACTGAGATTCTGAAAAATGTACTGGGAGCAAAGAACGTTTGAAACATTGTTTGAGCGTTCGAATGTTGCCTCTCTCTTTTGATTTCTAATATACATAATATAGGTCTCCTCTTTAAGAGGATTCTTTGAGACCTTCAGTGGATGATGGAGTTCTTCCTCTATTTATAGATGAAGATGAATCCATGAATAACCTCCAAGAACCAATATGAGATTCACGTCTTTGCCCTTCAACTCACATACTCCAAATGTTATATAGAGAAGTGAAAATTTCACTTTCCCATCAATCTCAATTTAAAAATACTATTGTACTTTATGTATACTATATATATATATAACAAAAGACTATGTAATTGCACACCATAGCACTATGGATGTCCATGCATGGTTCAAAGTCGCGATATCGACCATTGACTCAGAGGGTACTAATACATATCAGTTACAACGCGGTATCGACCGATACGCTCAAAACACAAAATACAAGCTCCAAAAAAATTTGAAAAAATTATAGAAAATTTTAAAAATGTAAACATCATCATTCATGCATTATATGTCCACAATATATCCAAAAACAGATTAAACGTAATTAAAATGGAATATAAAGATGCTACCGAAAATAATTATCATTATCAATATTCATCGTAAGCATTTAGGAACATAATAAGCCATAATCATTGCCACATTAAACGACGATGTGGCTCAAAATAATCGTTATTACCTGTAGGATAATACAAATTAAGATAATGTCCATCATAAGGATAAAAATACAAGTGTGAATACGAGTCTGATTGAGTTGGTTGAGTTGATTAGCTAGATGACCCATAATTAGAGTAGTATGACTAT